CGATCTGCCTGTTCTGTTCCCTGCTCTGTCTCTGGTGAAGCCTCTCACCGCCCCTTAGCCTCTGGCCTGTAACCCTGCCTAGTTAAGTATTTTTTAAACAATTACCACCTGATTTCCAAATGAACAACAAACCACTTTAACTTTCCGGAGAAATTTCCAGTACCTACCACCACTTCTTTCTGATAGCTACCTATTCTGACACTCCATTTACCTAATCTATTACTGAATACAACAGTATCCATCCACTTTAAGAAAGGACAAGACCTAGGGAGAAGACGGACAAGTAGTAGCAAGTTCATACAACAGGGTCAAAATATGAACTTAAATTTAAATCCTAAGACTGTGATCACCAAGTATCTTACCTCGCCGCCCTCCTCCACTTCCTCCTCCTCTCATGAATTCAGGTCTTCTGGTAGCAAAGGACACTTTAATAATGTTACCATGGAATTCTTTCCCTAAGAAAAAAAAAGTAGCCTTTGAAGAACTGCTACTTTACATCATTACCTCTCAATAAAAATATAAAACTAGGAATTTCTAGTTTCCGAGGTGTAACTGACATGTCCTCAGAGAAATTCAAACACACTAGCATTCCAAAGAGTCATGGAAAAAATGCTAAAACATGCTATAGTCCACTGAATGAAGCAAATCTGCCAGCTGGACAGATTTCTTACTAAGCAAAAAACACATTTAACATTTTTATATTAAAAAAACATGAAATGTGTGTAGTATGCTACCATTTCTGTGTGTGCATGTGTGTGCAAATATTGCTCATAAATACAATGCTTACTATGTTTACCTCTCAAAAAGGGAAATAAGATCACTGAGGGTCAAACATGGAAAGGAAGCTCATTTTTAGAATAGGTACTCTTGGCATTGTTTGAATTATTTTCTGAATTACTTGTAATATCTTTAAAAATAATGTGCACATATATAATTCTTTATGCACACATATTAATACATGTTATGTCAGAGTCTTAGGGTAAGAGTTAATCTTTTTAAAACTCTCCCTGGTGACACAGGAATTAAAGCACAGTACTATGAAACTAGCTGCAGCCACTGCAGCACGAGTTTGATCCTCCGCCAAAGTCTGTTGTGCAGACCTCCCCTGTCCCTGCTCCCTCCAACACCTCAACAATATATTTCAGGAGATCTGCCTATTCTGCTCCTCACTCTGTCTCTGGTGAACTTTCTCACCACCACTCTACCCCCATATTCCCCCCACCTCTGTCTTAGACTCCAGCTCTTATATGTATGCATGCATAAATAAATAAGTAAATAATTTTTTTTTAAATAATTACTCTTTTTAGTTTAAGCAAGAGAACTGACATACATGGAAAAGATATCCAAGGATTTGTAAAATAATTCTAAATCCAGGAGCTTTATCTTCCTGACCAAAACACCAATCACTGTACCTAGAAATTTTCCATATTAGATGGTAGCTATATATAACAAGCATATAGACATAAGAAGCAACTTGTGAATCAGCATGTTAAATGCTATAAAAGATCTGGTAAGGTATAAAATATAAAGTTAGATTTAAGAGGCTCGTATGTCCCGCGGGCAAAAAGCACAATAATGTATCATGAGCAGAAAAAATTTTGTGATTCCCAGAAACAGGGAAAAAAAAAACAGAAAAGCAAGAAAGAATGAACCTACCCTTCAAGAACAAGGTAACAGGTCTGATGGATTAGTATAAAAAACAAGTATGGAGGTGAGGACAGACCATGCAACAGAAGTACATCTTGAAGAACTAAAGAAATGCAACTATATTTTAGAAGACACAGGTGTAGTCATCTTGAAATTAGAAAGGACCCCAAGTGTCTGTGAATACAGCATAACTAAATACTTTTGAAACAGGGAAGCCAGGCTAAATTAAAGTCCTAACTCTGACACTTTATCTGTGATCCTGGAAATTAGCTTTTCTGTGCCTCAGTTTCATCATCTGTAAACGGTAATATTAGAGCCTGTATTTCATGGGGTAATTATAAAGATCAAAATGATTTAATGTATGCAAAGCCCTTAGAAGTATACTTAGCAGGACCTCCCTGGTGGCACAATGACTTAATGTTAAAGTGTAGCACTATGAAGCTAACTGCATCCACTATAGCCTAAGTTTGATCCCTGGCCAGGGAGCTGACCCGTATGGCACAGCAGACCTCTCCTGTCTCGTCCATTGCTCCCCTCAGCAATTATTTTCAATTGATCTGCCTATTCTGCTTCCCATTCTGTCTCTGCTGAATCCTCTCACACACGCCTCCCACCCTCACCCCCACCCTCCAAATGTAGTACGTATTAGTTATCAAATTATGGTAAAGCAAAAACAATGAATTTATATAACATGGAGAAATGACTATTAAAATGTTAAGTGAAAAAAGTATAAGACAAAATTACATGTGGAATAAAAAATGACAGAAGTTTACTGAAAAATATTATTACCTCTAAGTATAGGACTATGGATGCTTTACTCCTTTTCTTTTACCTTCCCATATTTCTTACTTTTCATAAAAAGTCTTAATATTTTTTCTAAATTGAAGGGAAATCAATCTGAATTTTAAGGCCTATAGAATCAACCAGGCCAATCCTCTAAATTTGTATGAGGGTGGCCTTAAGCACAAGGCACGATATAAGAAAATAATTCTAAACAAACAAGAGCTTGTCTCACTTCTAAAGGTATATAAAAACTCTATCCTGTATTCTCAGTAGGATATCTACAACAGCAAACATGAAAATAACCAATCTACCAGAATATATTCTGACTTCAAGATTGGAAAACATAAACCCAAACTGCATCTTGAAACTGTATGAACGAGGTATACCATCAAACCAGTCAATGGCTGCCTTAGCTGAAGGAGGATCATCAAATGACACTGTTGCCTCCCCTTTAGGTTTCCCTGTATCCTTGTCTGTGTATAGATTTATCATTGGTTTTCCAGTCTTCTTATTTGTCTGAGGAGCAAAAAAGTTCGGTGTTAGCATTTTAAGAAAAAGTGACCTGATCGGAAATCATAAAAATAATTAAAGATACATATCTTCAAGGAAGTGATACAGTCATACAAATAAATGAAAACTGAATGCAGCAAATAAAAAGTGAAATCTGTAACTTTTGAAAAGAAAAATTAAGATATATTAAATGAAAACCGAACTATAAAAAAGACAAAGAATACTGTTTTATAATTTCTTCAAACACACAAAAAAGACAACAAGACATTTCATATAAGTAAAAATACTTATAAAACACTTTTTAAAGAGGTTAGGGAAAATGTCCAACAACAAAAAATCAACAGATTGCCATTAAGGAGTAGACACCAGATTTGGGTAGGATAGGAGGGTAAGACAAGAGAATTTTTACTTTATTGGAACTGTGGGACCTGTCTTACATATTTCACATGTAAGTAATCTCTTAAAAACTTCCCCAAAAGGAAAACTATTAGTTATTCCAGACACCAAAATAGGACAACTGCAAGTTTATTTCAGGCAAGTGCTACAATGTACTATCACAATGCTCTAAATGCTTTCTAGCTGAAGAGATGAAAACAGTATGTATGAAACAGTACACAAGATACTTAAATAAACAATAAAATTATAAAATAAAACTTCAGGCCAATATGCAGCACTGACATTAAATACCAAATAAAAACTTGTTACTAGCAACTTGAGTTTGCATAATTTGGCATTATATAATCTATAAAATGTTATCACCTTATTTGGGTCTCAAAATTTCAAAAGCTAGGCATAACCTACTTTTAGAGCCCCAGGACTGAAAGCTAAAGCTGTGGGTGGCTGTGGAAAAGTAAAAACAAGCAGGGAATGAAATCTTCATGTATTAATTAGCAAATTTAGTAAAAGTCTATAGATACAAGTGAGCATGTGTATCAAGAAATTTTTAAAAGCAAGAATTATTGAAGTACAGGTTTATTAAGTAATCTATATAGCTCAATGAAAACATTAATGAGATTTTCAACATAAGCCATACATTTTTACTCACCTTGATAATTCCTATTTGTTTAAAGAACTCCCCTACTTGATCTGTAGATACACCCTCCCCAAGTCCTTGCACAAAAATTGTGTTGTTATCTGAATTATCAGATTCTGAATCTAAGAGAAAAAAAAATAATGATTAATTTTATATATTCCTTGGTTTTACTACATCCTGTTTAGTAATCAAAACCAGTAATTTCTTGTACAATAGTCAACTGTTTCTATGACCAGAAGGAAAAAGGACCAACATAAGTAAAATTTTCTATAAACATGCAAAATGGTCACAATAGTTATTTGGTAGTAGATCAATTCTTACAATTAAACTTCAGGTAAAGTGGATCAAGTCCACACTGTGTGAAATACATAGACCAATTAAGGGAGATCTTATAAATCTCTCTTCAGAGTAAAATACAACACTAAAGTTCATGAAGAGATGAAGAAAGTTAGTATAAATTAGCATTCATTTCTTTGGAGAGCTTTCATTCTTTGACTAATCAATACTTTTAAGGCTCTCTAGTAGAAAATTCCCCAAATCTGACATTTTGGACTTTCAAGCAAGCCAAGCAGAATTGCTGGTTTCCCATTCACTGCAATAAGCTTTGTATATACCAGAGGGTAGGGCACCTTGACACACACCTTACCTTACACGCACACTTTTGGATTAGTACAACAAAGTAAGAAAGATGTACAAAAATTCAGTCCATCAAGGGATAATTCAGAAATTGCCATCCATATAGAATACTTTGGCATCTTAATAAAAACAAAAGTTCTGATTTCAATATATATTAAAATTTTTTGGTTCAAATAGATTTTTAATCTCTAAGTCCTAACTTTCAAAAGTTTCCATGTAGCCTTTAATTTCTTTTAAAAATAAAAAGCTACATGATTTTAGTGACCTATGCCCAAAGTAAGACAAGTTTTTTCATACACAAATTCAGGTTTCTTAGGCCCACTAAGCCCAATCCAATATAACATTTTCTTAAACACAGCTTTTCTAATAACCCAAAGATACCAATTCTCTCATTAAATCTGATTTGTAGTAGTAAATACTAAATAGCAATAAAAAACAAAAAGTACAGCAAGGGAAAACATAAACAGCAATTTTCCCCAGCAAACTTTCCAATCAGTTCCACTGAGTTTTTCTTTGTGGTATGTCTTTAAAAGTGAAGTGCCCTGGTTCTGACAGCACTAGCCATCAAATCTTCTTTCTGCACTAACTCTTCCAAACACTTATTTTTTTCCCATGAAAAAAATGGAAAACTAATGTTCTCTTAGTTGCAAAGTCACAAACTATAAGCCTTACCAGCATCTGGTCTGGGTCCATAATCCCTGTGACCTAAGGGAAAAGAAAAGAAAAAAGGAAAAAAAATATTTAAGGCAACTCATTAGAAATCATTAAAAACTATAATAACCAAAACATGAAAAGTCAGTATTTGAAATCCTTGAAAGTCGACCATAACTGATTTACAAAGTTAACTGTATAAATTATGTTTTTATTAAAAGTTTAAGAATCAAGATGAATGTCAGTATTTCCTTAAAACTTGTCCCAGACGGCACCCACCGCTTTGGCATTATGCTAATATCACTTTTATTAAGCTCTGGTTGTGAAGGCTGATTGGAAAACCCTAATAATTTAAAAACACCATGTCAACTACCTTTAGTAAAAATAATACTGTCAAAATCCAGTGAAGCTCTCATTCATTGGTCACCACAGACTCTTTCATGCAAATTCACTGTGTAAAAACCCATTGGTCTACTTGAGATCAACTCTGGCTTAATGTTTTCTTTGACATATATGTGTATATATATGTGCGTGTATATATATATATATACATATAAAAAATTTTTAAGCACACAACACACACCAGCCTCAACAGAGTAAGAAAGGGCTTTAGACTGCGTCTGCGGGATATTGGTGGCTTTTAGATTTATATAGCAATTCCACTGAAACATTTTGGGATACTCAGCACTTACCACCAAAATTTTTGAAGCCACCGCGGTCACCACCACTGCAGAGGAAAAATTGAAGAAATGATTTCTTCCTTAAGTCTCTAATGTGCTGAGCCCTGGGCTCAGTCTACACTTAACTGTCACAAGTAGAGCGCCTAGGAAAACAGTAGCACCTCTATCTTTCCAATAAATTCCAATTCATAGACTTCAAAATGTTGTTTTCATGTAAGTGTTTCCCAAGATCTATTTCCACAAGGATGCCTTTTCAAGCTTATTATAGAACACATCTAATATACACTTATTTTAAAATGTTCCCAACTCTAAGCAAAGAGGTACGTACTATTACTACTAGCTAGATGCACAGCATAAAGGCTTAACTAAAGCAGTCTGTTCTGCTGTGGGGTTTTGTTGTTTTTTTTTTTTAACAAAAAAAAAAAGAAAAAAAAAAACTAGAGTAATAGTATACACTAAGGTTAAGATTTTGATAGCAAAATGGGAGAGTAAAAGCTTGAATACCATGCTCTATTATGATACCAAATAGTAGGTATTATGAGATGGAAAAAAAAAAAAGCTGAGGTACAAAATATGCACAAAAGTAAGTCTGAATGAAAGTAGCCCTAAAATATCAAATCAGGGCCCTCCCTGGTGGTGCAATGGGTTAAAGCACAGCACTATGAAATTATAGCAGCCACTGCAGCACGAGTTCTATCCCCATCCAGGGAGGTGACACATATGGCCCGGCAAACCTCTCCTGACCCACCAACTGCTCCCCTCAGCAGTGTATTTCAGTGTTTGCCTGTTCTACTCTCCACTCTGTCTCTGGTGAGTCCTCTCACCTCCACCCCCAACTCTGGCCTGTACCCCAGTTCTGTATGTATAAACAAATAAATCTTTAAAAAAATTTTCAAATCATTCAGAAAGCTGACAAAATGAGCACTAAAAAGAACTCTAACTTAAAATTGCCCTGCTATTCCATACTACTATAATACACTAGATTCATGACATCAGAGCTACCAAGGTTAATGCTGCTAATATTTCTTCACACCAACTAATCAGTAGGCCATAGAGATAGACTACAACATAGTCTAACACTGCACACTGCCCACAAAAAAAACTTGGACAAACTGCCACTGCCAGATTAAGTCCTTATGCACATTGCTTCAAATAAGGAAACTAAAATCTTTCTTCAAAAATGTCCATGTATTATTAGAAGTTTGTTTTTCTTGGCTGAATTAAGTAATGCTCTAAGATCCATGTGCTGACATGGAAATAAAAAAATGCAAATTTTTCAGATGAAGATCTAAGTTACTACTACCAATCTTCTATTATAATCTAAGAAACTAACCCAATATCCTAATCTCTACACTACTTCAAAGCCTGTTTGTGTGATCACATTACCCTTTGTCAACGGCTTTTCTGAACTATCCAGAGAAAAACCACTGACTAGAGAAAGCATTGTTCCTTTATAAATCCATTCTAACTTGAAGTAAAAATTTTCCCCTTGCAATCCATTTAGGGTACAGACATATACATCTAAATTTGGTATTAATTATTGATTACCAGGAAGCCTAAAAAAGAGATTAAGACTACTTCAAGGCTAGAGACAACATATAATGCAGATCCTCACACACAGTTTCCTACTGAGTCTCTAAGACCCTTCTTTCAGAACAGTACCCATGTCATTCCTATGCTTCTAAATTCCCACTGTTAACTCTTTATGGAAGAGAAGTTAACAAAGTTCTTGGTACTAAACTGCTAAAAATATAACTAGAAACCATTATCTTAGGTTTCTTCAAAGGTGATCTTTAGGACATCACAAAATGTAAGAAAAGAAGTAATGAAAATATTAAATCTACATTCCTATGTCAGGAGGTTAAAGTCCTCAGGGTAAATAAAGGTTTTTTTACATAGGAATTTTTCACAACTTTTCTTAGAAAATTTAAGATACCTCATAACTGTTTTACTGTCATATTAACCAAACATCGAACAGTTTATCTAGCCACAATAGAGGGAAAATAATGCAACTTCATACATCAGCTAGTTCTTACAATTTCTGTTCTGGCTAGCAATAGAATCTTGAAAAAATTTTAATAAGGATTTACCCCTGCAAAATAAAAGGGATAGAAAACAAATTACATTTGAAGCAGCTTATCTTCCAATTCCTCCATGATATTTTAAGTTTCCTTTACTGAGCACTTCCTTTGAAAGCACAGCAGCTGATGATTTCAACATAGTAGCACAAATAGGGAAACTACAGAATGCATTTGGAAAAGTACCAGTCTTCAAACTAAAGAGACTTGGGTATAGTCATATAACTATCACTAACTTATCTTGATGATTTAGGCAAGAAAATAATCTTCCAAGGTTTCAGTTTAATCTTTCAGAAAATAAGGAAGATACTACTATTCTTGCTATTCAAAGAGGGGTCCATAGAAAAGCTGCATAAGTAGAGCCTGACAGGCTTCTCAGTAAGCAGGATCTCAGGCTTCCCCAAAGAACTAATGAATCAGAACCTGCATTTTTAATAGGACCCCCCCCCAAGGAATTTATATGTACAATAAATTTTAAGAAGCACTGGTTTAGATATCTGTAATTTCTATGTGAAGCTTTCTTTCACATTCAACCATTTTTTTTCCTGATTAGGTAATTCAAAACTAATTACAATTGTTTATTAGTAAATATTATATAATAAATAAACCTCAAGTGTTACTCATTAATATAAAGTTAACAGAAGATGAAACTATGGTTAAAAATCTTTCTTTCAAATCTGCAGTCAAGTTACATGTCCCTTTTGTATAAAGACTCCCTAGCAAATTAAGACACAATGGTATGTGAACATCTATGAGTCAAGATGTTGCAGCACAAATGTGCTGTCCTTCTAGAAAAATCAAACTTGTACACATAAAGAATCCTGAAGGACATTTTAAGGTGAGGAATTTTATTAGAGACATAATATGCATTAGCAATGCCCCCCACACACAAGAAACCCAACTGCTTCTTTTTCATGTGATCTTAGCCAAAAGATCAAGAGCGATCCAAATATATATTCTTAATTCAAGTACAGTAATGCTTGTCCCAGTAAGGAGCCTACCCTAGGGTAGTCTCTGAGGAGTTCTCTCAGTTAACAGCATTACATGCTTAGAGGAAAAGGATAGATTATGTCTCATGTAGTTGCAAGAAAAGGTTCTTTGGCAGAATTTCTATTCCCAAGCTTTAATTTAAAAAAAAAATCTTTAAACTGCCAAAAAGCAAAAGAACAATCAATATAGGCATCTATATCCCCAGAATATTTAATATCTGGAGAGAAAAAAAGTTAAAATTGGAAAAGATGAGCTATTAAAAAACTGTGCTAGGCTTCAATTTTTATAGTTAATTCCTAAGTTTTGGGATATGAAGATTAACATTAACAAATGTAAAAAACAACAGATTGAACTAACATTCTTAACAGTAACTACATTTATGTTTATTTTCTCCCACATCTTATATGCTTGGTAAACATGTTTTCTGGATTCAGTATTTACCAATATTCCAGGATGCCAAGAAATCTATCATTCTAAAGCTGCACTAACAATCTGATATTCACCAGACACATGTGGCTGTTGACCATTTGAAATGTGGGTACTTTAAATTGAGATTTAATCCAAATGTAAAATAAAAACTGGATTTCAAATGTCTAATATAAAAAAATGCACACCAGGCCCTCCCTGGTTGCACAGTGGTTAAAGCGCAGCACTGCAAGCTGGCCCGAACGCCTCAGTGAAGTTTTCGATCCCCAGCCTAGGAGGTGATCCACATGATGCAACAGACCTTTCCTGCCTCACCCACTGTTCCCTTCAGCAGTATACTTTTGACAATCTACCTGTTCTGCTACCCACTCTGTTTCTGGTGAATCCTCTTGCTGCCCTGCACCTCTGGCCTGAACCCCAGTTTTGTATGAATAAGTGTATCTTTATAAAAAAAAATGCATACTATCTCAGTAAGTTTTATACTGACGAAATATTTTGAATATATTAGATTTAATAAAATATATAACAGGTAAAATAAATATGTAACAGATAAAATTAATCTTAGGGTCTTCTTGGTAATACAGGGATTAAAATCTCAGGGATATCAAGCTATTGCCAGGCAATCTGTTCAATCCCAAGCCAGGGAGTTGACTCACTTGGAGTAACAGACCTCTTCTGTCTTGCCCGCAGCTCCCTTCAGCAGTATATTTCAGTGGATCTGCCTATTGTTCTCCATTCTGACTCTAGTGAACCCTCTTGCCCCCATTGCATTTCTGGCCTACACCATAGTTCTTGTATGTATAAATAAATAAATATTTTTTTTAAATAATTTTATCTTATTACTAATTTCTAATGTGGCGACAAGGAAATTTTAAATTACATGTATGGCTCATGTTTGTAACCCATAGTATTGTCCTACTGGGCAGTACTGTTCTAGAGTTGCACAAGAACATATGCACAATTTCAAACGAATTGATCAACACTTGTAAGAAGACAACACTCAAACTTCAAGATAACTTATTTTAGGTCTGAGATACTAATGCCTGAAACAGTTACTTAAGTTGATGACATGCTAGTAACTGAAGACATTCAACATTTATCACAATGCTAAAGTTACTGACAAATTTATGGTTTTAACTTCTAAATGCATAAAAGGTCAGTGACCAATTTTAGATGACAATTAGGAAGTGAATCTTTTTTGTTTCAATTTTTTTAAAAGTTTCCTATAGTTAACATTAAGATTCACATTTCTCCTCCATATTGCAAATTTGACAGCTACATTTTGATTTTGAATTTCCCTCCTAGTCATGCAATCATACAGTCTACTAAGAATTCCTATCCTTTAATACACAGCTCACCTTCACTTTCTTTAAATATAAACCCAACTATAACCAGGTATTTGCCAAACAGTCTGCAAAAGATTATTTTCGACCTTGCTATTTTTAAGTAAGATGATTAGAAACACAAATGGGAGTGTTGATGAAGACTAACAAAAAATGTCTGGGCATTTGGTACTTAAATGCAAAACCAAGTGTGAAAAAAAAATTCTGAAACTGGGTGCTTATATTCAAATTTAAAGCCCTTTACCCTTACAGATAAGCTTAAAAGCACATCTTCAAGATTAATTTATTATTGTGACACATGAAAATTATAATAATTTCAATTTCAATATCTATAAATTAAGTATAACTGGAGCATAACTATATTCATGCATTTATATACTGTCTATGATTGCTCTGACACTCAAAAGTACAGAGCTGAGTATTTTAAAAGAAACTGTATAGCTTACATAAACTAATTTACGTACTATGTATCCTTTCACATAACAAGTCTGACAACACAATAGTAATTAGGTAATAGTAACAGAGAGTAATCATCATTCATATCTATTTCTAAAAATGGTCTTTTATAAGCAACCTATTTATTGGTTTGGGGTGGGTGGTTTGGCTATGGGATAGGCAGCAATTGGGCAAGACCCTTCCCCCAATCCTACCCTGACTTGAACCAGACAGTGGACTTCTGCATAAGATTTTGTTTGAAGAGATGCTAAAACTAAAGTTAAAAAATCAAAAACATAATTCATGATTCAGTACCTGAGTCAAAACTTAACTGAAATATTTTGCCAAGGTTATAAAGTGGTTAAAAATGGGACTTTAGGGATGGTAAATATCCTTTATTTGGAGGAACAGTTGGGGTCTTTTCAACTCTGAAAGAAGAAAACGTATTTTTAAAGATTCCTCTACCTTCCTACTCCTGAAAAGTGGGATTCTACTATTCTCAGACACTGTCATAGTTTCATGTATCAACTAGGATATAACTCTAACTTCTCTATGAAAAACATTAAATTAGAATGTACCATAAAATACAGATTCCAAACAGCCAGTTATCTGACATATTAACTGAAAAATGTTAATATAGCTATTGATAATCTTGTTTGGGATTCTACTAGAAGAGGGAAGCTACTGGGTAGAGGAAGCACCATCTCACTTTACCTTGTACATGTATATATACATGATGACACTGTTTTCTTTAGTAATGAAGGATATAAAGTGTTTTACCTTAGTAAACTGACTTTGGCTATCAATCAAGATTTTTTAATGTTCAACTCTTATAAAATTTTATCAAATGTTTAAATAGTTTTGCCTTAAAAACAAAGTACTATACACTAAACATAGACAAATATAAATCAATGAGATCAAATCCCTTGAAGAAGTAACAATGCTTCGTGTGTAACTGTTTTTGCTTATTTTGTCACCTCAGGAGATATACTCAGTTCCTAAGAAAAGAGTGAACTGGTACTAACAGATCTTAAGTATCAGTTAAGAGGCTGCTGGCTATTTCTTTCTTTCTTTCTTTCTTTCTTTCTTTCTTTCTTTTTTAATGGCTATTTCAATTCCCAAGAAACATAAACTATCTTTAAAACTTATGTATTTTACACACAAATTTGCAGTGTGCAAACTTCATTTGAAGACAATTAATGTCAGCGTCTTCCTTATTTTTAGTGCCAAGGTGCTAAATTTACAGATGTATTTACAAATTTTAAAACCAGGTTTCAAAACATACACCATAAGTAAATGTCAAAGCCTGTTGTTAATATTAACAATGGGGTGGGGGGGTAGAGTAGAATTACAAAGCCATCCCTTTTCCACAGCTTAGTCTAGACAAAATACACAATGGTATATGATGTTATGTTAATTACTTCAATAATATTTATTTAAAAGGGGAAACAAAATAGTTACATAAAATTCTTTATTACCTTACCAATACTACCTTCATGCTGCTATTACCTCTTTATATTTTCCAAGGGGATTTAAGATTTAGAAACAGCTTCCCTGTCCTCAGATTATAATTAACTTACCTTTTTTTAATTACATATACAATACACCTGGATTTCCCAGTCATCTTTTAAAGTTTGGATTATATAGCTCTGACAGGAAAAACATAGTTAAGTGGTTTGACCACAAATATATAAGGGATTTTTCTCCTCTGGTGTTTAATATATAGCAAATAAAGTGACTGCTAGCATTGCTTACTCTGAGGTAATTTATTTGACATCTTAAGAATGCAAAAATTTTGAATGTCTGCTCTCTTCTCAACATAAACTCCTTTTTAAGTCTCTCATCTAAAATAGATGCTAAGTAACCCGAAAAAGAAAAAAAAAAAAAGAGAGAAGAAAGAAATATAGACATCTATACCTAAATACTTACCTTGATCCCATCATAGGACCTCTTCCATCCTTGTCATATCCCCCACGCCCTCTACCTCCTCCCTGTGACCCGCCATATCCTCTATTATCTTCTCCATACCTACTCATGTCACGACGGTCATCTACAAAAAGAAAAATGATACACAAAAAATTAACCATTGTCATTTCTGACAAAGGCATCCCATAACATAATGCTAAGTGGCTCTTTAGGCCACATATTGTCTTTTGGAAAATGGTGTATGTGCACAGAACTCAAAAACAAGTCATTCATAAAATCCTCTGGAATTTAACGTTTGAGAACTGTAGCTGTGTCAAATACTATTCTGCTAGTCAAACAGCAGCATAGTGATAAGGTTATCAGCATCTGATGTGATGGTGATGATGCAGAAAAATGAGTTAAAAACATCAGAGACAGGAGCCCCAATAAAGATGAAAAGCAAAATCCTCATTTAAGAAGTTACTTTCTTCACCTTAAATGTATATAAATGTAAAGCAAACATAGACAGAGACTACCTAGATTTTCAATCTGAGATATTCAGTGAATGAGCTTTCACTTTATATTCATTTACTTATTTAACTGATTATTCAGCAAATATTTATTGGATACTTATATACAAAGCACCAGAAGTACAAAAATAAATTAGATAGAACCTTTGCCCTTGAAGTATTTATTTTCACTGCATGGACAGATTCCTGAATATCAGTATGAGATGAAGAAAGTACTATAGAAAATAAGAATGACTAGTCCTTCTTAGATGAAGTTAGAGAAAGCTAATATATAAGATCACAATTTCCATAAATCAATACCACTACCAACAGTACTAGTAGTAGCAGCATTGTCAAATGATCAAAATTGACTACAATAACAAAGGAACTTCATATAATCAGCCATCAAAAGTCATGTAACCATTTGATAAGGCTTTAGAAAGTACAGAAACAGAAACAAATAAACTAGCTTTGAGACCCATGAGAGAGAACACATGTTCAAGATCACTCCCAATTTTCACTAATAGGTGAAACCCTATGTGGGTCTTTTAACACAAAACTCAATTTACAAATATTGAGAAAAAAAGAAAAATAATAAATGTCAGTATATCTTACCTTGTGTGTGGTGGCTATAATTTTCCCTTTGTGAATGGTAGGACTGCTGGTTTTGATTATAGGAATCATGCTGCTGATCATAATTTGAATGATCATCATATGAGCCTTGATGTTGATCATAACCTGACTGTTGGTCATATGAATCTTGTTGACCATAGTTTGACTGGTCATATGAAGGCGCTCTTCCACCTTGGCTAAAGAGAAATCAAGAACTTAAGAGATTTTGTAGAAAGAATGTTCACCTCTGCAAGTTAACAGAGATGATACAGAAATAAGGCGCTTGATTAGCTGCATCTCAACCATACTTAATACTACTTTTTCTTGGGAGTATTTTAGCTCTTTTTGCTATAAAACCTTATCACCAATGGAATGACCTACAATGACTTCACTATCATTGAAGAAGTGCCACACTATGAGAAAAACTACATGCCATCTTTGAAAAGTAGTGAAACAAACAAAAAAAATCACCATGGTTTTTACCATCTTCTTGAAAAAAATAAATAAATAAAACTTAAGGTTCCACAACACACGATTTGTCCTGTTTTTAACAAACATCCCTTTTAATAGCTATACTGAAATGGTAACTACTTAATTTAACATTACCCCATAATATTTTTATAACTATTTTCTTAATAGAATCTTTAGAAGCTATAGTACATTCTTCTAAATATTTTCAATGACAGTAAATCTTAGAAAATTGTGATAAATCATCCAGACTTTAAGTCTTATATGAGTTAGAAGGGGAAACTGGCTTTGTGATACTATCTTTTATTCTGAAAAGTCTGACTACCACATAATAAAGATTGTTTTTCTATTACCTCTGGCAATTCTATTACCTCTGAGCAATGTGATTATTAAATACCTGCTCTCAAGATGAAAGGAACACTTAATGGATTTGAGTTATGTTTACTTAAAAAAAAAAACCTCTCATTATTTAACAGTCATAAGTATGTCCCCTAACTCACTAATCACCGTAACACAACACAACAATGGTGTCAGGTCTACTACACATATGTAAGTCACACTTCCAAAAATGCATCCTTATTTATAAAAGGATTCTCCTTAAATTTAAAACTAGTCAACAGGGTTTGAGGAGGTATTCCTTCTAATGTAACATGACTCACTTACTTATTCATTCACTCTAGAAAAACTGGGATATAAGCAAGAGGTGTGGAAGGGTGAGAGAATTCACCAGACAGAGTAGGAAACAAAATAGGCAGATTTACTGAAATTTACCACTAAGGGAAGCAGCAGGCAAGAAAGGAGAGGTCTGCTGCAACCTATGTGGGTCACCTCCATGGTCAGGGATCAAACTCAGGCCACAGAAGTGACAGTATTGAGAACTTGACCATTAGACCACCAGAGAGTCCATTTTTTACATTATTCCATACATTAATACTGAACTGGGGTACAGGCCAGAGATGCGGAGAGTGAGAGGATTCACCAGAGACAGAGTGGGGAGCAGAACAGGCAGATCGATGAAGTACACTGCTAAGGGGAGCAGCGGGCGGGTCAGGAGAGGTCTGCCACAACATGTGGATCTCCTCTAGGGCAGGCAGGGATCGAACTCATGTGGAAATGGCTTAAGCTTCTTAGTGCTGTGCTTTAACCCGCTGCGCCACCAGGGAGGGCCACCTTCTACTTTTCAAAGGACTCTCATATCTATACAACTAAGGTGCCATTATTAAAATGAGTATCAAGCATCGAGTCTTCAAATTGGAAAATTTTTTTTTAAAGATTTATTTATTTATGCATACAAGATCTGGGGTGTAGACCAGGAGCTGTGGGGAGAACAGAAGAATCACCAGAGACAAGGTGGGGAACAGAACAGGTGGATCTACCAAAACACACTGCTGAGGGGAGCAGCGGGCAAGACAGGAGAGGTCTGCCTCACCATATGGGTTAGCTCCCTGGCTGGCCAGGGACTGAACTATTGCAGTGGCTGGCAACAGCTTGATACACTGCCTTTAATCCCTGCACTGCCTGGGAGGCACCATTTTCATTTCATAAAATTTCTAAACTATTCAACTACCTATATTAACAAAATATATTCTAGGGTATCTGATACATATGAGGAGGGTTGGCACTTTTTCTGTAATAAAAGATGTACATTAAAGATTAGGCCCTCCCTGGTGGCACGGCGGGTTAAAGCACAGCACTGAGAAGCTAAAGCCATTTCCGCATGAGTTCGATCCCCGCCTGCCCCGGAGGTGACCACATGGCGCGGCAGACCTCTCCTGACCCG